CGAAACCAGACATTTGAAAAGAAGTCTTTGCAAAAAAACAAAACAAAAAAAAAGGGATTAGAGAACGAAAGTAGATCATTGTAATTCAACAGCAGATGTAATACCGACTGCTGCAACTGACAGCAACATCTTTTGTCTTTTGGCTAACAGGAGCGGAAACGAGCCGAAGTGCTAGAGAAGGAGTCCCGCAAGCTGCTTCAGGAAAGCGTCGACCCAGCCCGCAGTATTCAGGATGAGGAGGGTGAGTTGCTTGTTCAGGAGAAGGCTCTGGCGCTCAAGATGATGGGCGGGATGCAGGACGGAGACGCTATTTTTGGGGGAGAGGTGAACTTGGAGTCTCAGGTAAGAAAAGACTAAACAACAGCCGTGATAAGCCGTCCTTAATGCATCCTTTTTTTTTCTTTTTTTCCCTAATATGTATGCAAGTTGTGGCATTACTAACGTCGTTTTTTTTTGGGATTGCTATTGTTGCTTCCCTGTGGCTCATGGTAAAGCGTTTTTTTTTTTTTTGGCAAGCTTTTGGAAATCCAGTTGGGTGGGTGGGTAGGTTGTCCAGGCCCCTCACAACATCGCCCTGAGCAGCTTTTGCATGCACCCTCGTGCTTTTGATGCATCAAGACTCCTTATCATATTGTGAAAGAGCAGGTTAATAAATATTTTCTTTTCAACTTCTTCTTTTGCTTTTTCCCTCTAACCCACGTTTAAGCATGGGTACCAGGCAAAACCTGCATAGCAAGAGGCAAAATGGTCGATCATTAAATTGATTAGCTAGTTAAAAAAAAGAAAGATTAGTGGTGGTCCAAAAAAGAAAAGAAAAAAAAAAAGAAATAAATAAAGAAAGAAAGATTTATGGTGGTCAAATGATTATTGATATCAGCAAAATATGCGTGAGGATTTACCCCTCGGCATACGGCCCTGCAGCAGGCGCGTGCCTGCCGTAATTGAAGGCGGCCCCCCTGAATCTCAATGAGCCCTGAACTTGTCAATTTTTGCAAATCTTGGTGGGCGCCAGACAGTTGCCGCGTGCCAGTTGGTTACATCCGCTTTGCTCGTGAGAATCGGAAACATTCGTGAGCCTTCCAGGCTCTTCCAGCAACACGGACAAAACAGGGAACACTGTACGTTTGTGGCTGGATGGTTGGGCATTCCTAATGAATTCTGTCCCAGGCCACTGTCTGAACGGGCCTGGGCGCAGACACTTTGCCCGAGACTGAAGCTACTGGAAACTCGGTCTCACGGGGAAGCAAGTGGGGAATGTGTCCGCCACTTTCCATATAGGAAAGGGCTGGGCACCGGGCGAGGCATTCGGGCACTGGATTGTGCAAGCGGCAGCGCTGCTGGAGCGTGCGCTCACGGGCTGCTGCTGTGCGCTAGCTGATGCCGGGCGCGTGCGGGCATCGAGAGGAAGCAGGGCGCTGCTGAGGGCAGCGCCATAGCCAGCCCACCCATAGCCGGGCTCGGCTTGGACAGCCAGCGGAGGTGGTGCGGGTCTTCGTGTATGAAGGAGAAGACCTGGGTGTAGAGAGAGAGAGAGAGAGAGAGAGAGAGAGAGAGAGAGAGAGAGAGAGAGAGAGAGAGAGAGAGA